ACATGTTGAGGGTGTGGGTGTGGGTGGGTGTAACGGAGATGTGCATATAACGAAGAGAATCACCCACACTCACGCCAACACCCATACCACACACCCACACCCACACCCAATGTAATACTATTGACTGTACAGTGGCCAATAGAAATGAAGTTATAGGAAAAATGAGTGTTTTAGGGCAAATCACGGGAAAGAATTCAAACTTGAGCTGTTCGATTCCAAGTCGAATTGGTTTGGCAACGCGTAATGAAAATAAACATTTACAATGCTAGTTTTCCAGTGTAATCTTGATGTTCAGACATTCTAGGATGACTGATTCGTATGATTCACTTTTTGAAGTACGCATAACTCTCAGATTTAAATCCGAAGTTTCCGCATTTATTTTATCGATTATCATCGAATAACATTGTCTAATGATACTGTTATCAAAATGACATTAGCATAAAAACCATTTATCATTTAAATAATAAATTCTGCTTTCTTACATATAAATGAAAACGTGCCGCAATAAAAAGTTTCGCAACACACTGTAATTTTGTTTATTCAATATTTAATATGGATTGCATTTGTCAACTTTTCTCTGTTATATATGACAAGATTATAACTACTTTAAAATTTCAATATAAATGAATTTTCGTTCGACTGCAAGAAATCATGAATATACGATCATCGAAGTACTTGTAATTATTTTCTTATTCTCGAAACAATTTTTTTTTTTTTTTTTTTTTTTTTATTATGCTCGAGAATGTAACACTCGGAAGTGCTTACATAATAAAAGAGAGAATTATAGATGTATAGGCGAAATGGTGCATCATTAAAGCAAAGCGTTACAATTTATGCCAACAATATGCTATACTGAGTACCAACTTCTGCACGTGGGGATATTTAGAGAGTAAATAAATGAAAAAGAAAAGAATAAACCAAGAGTAAAAGAAAGAGAAGAAGAAGATAGTGAGAGAAGTACTGATGATGAGTAGCAGCGGAGATACGTGAGTAGAGCGAACAACCCGAAAAAAGACGAAGAACAAACCAAGAGAAACAAACGCGAGATAAAAGGTAATAAGAAAGAGAACAAGAACGAAAGAAAAAACGAAAAAGAAAATTGCAAAAGCATTACATTTAAGCGTCTTTCTGTGACGTTAATTCACATCAACAAAGGACAACCATTTTAAAAGGAAAGACTCGTGTCGATCTTTCAATTGCCGAACACGACGTGAACAAAAAAAATGCCCAAGATGATCGTTTTTTCTTTTATAAAAGTTGTCCCACCCAAAAATATCTTCATAGAACAATGAAGAACCAAGATCAGTTGTGAAAATGGTCTTTAGTCTTCGTTGAACATATTTTTTAACATAAAATTCTAAGGGTTGTTCTGAGGTGACATTGAACAGATTATGAGCAGAAACGAAAGGGCAACGATGCACCAGCCGAAGTCCCACACGGAATTTTTGTTGCAATATATTTTGTTGAGATTCTGGGAGGAGTGGAAAAAGTGGAAATAGCCAAGCGAAATGAGGGAACGTGAATGCGAAAAAACATTGCCGGAGAGCTTTACATGACATTTTGCGACCAGATTTCATCCATTTTAGTTTTCCTAGCGATCTCTGAATATTTCCTATCGCTTTTTCGATTGTTGGTTTCAACGATAGTTTATCCGTCCAGGTAAAACCTAGGTATTTGAATTCTCTGACTAATTCGATTTTGTTTCCGTCTATCGTTACATTTACTATCGGCCTTTTTACTTGTGTATTCTCGAAACAATTATTCTTTAATTGTAACCCAATTTCAATACATTGGAAAAGTCTAGTTTTACAAAGGTTTCATTTCTGTGATGAATGATTCTGTCAATATCTTCTCATATATAAGATGAAAGCTGTGAAAAGAACGACGTGGCGGTGTTATTTTCATAATTATTAATTTTTTTTATAAATCATTTCCTCTTACAAAGCTTCAGTCAGATTTGTTTTGCTCTCTTTACCTGAAATTCATAACGCACCCTTTTTTTCTTTCTTATATTTAAATAAGAATGCGACAAAAATTTTTTATTCTACTCATAGTTTCTCTTTTTATTTATAAAATCAACTGAATCACCTATACGTCATGCAACACCTTTTTTTTCATTCCAACGATACGTTAGATTTTTCCAATGGTACAACACTTGTAATGAAAATAGTATATAAGTGATTGAAAAATGAGTTTTTCAACGGCCGCTGTAATCCGCACAAATTCTTATTCAATTATGAGTAAAGGACAATACTATCTACGTAAATATATTCAAGATTCCATAGATATTTTAATGAATTATCAAGACAAGAATTATGAAAAATTCTGTCGATTATTGATTGATGAACAATTATTCTATGTCAAAAATCTACCATTTCGAAGGATAATTAACGAATATCTACAAATGAATAGTTTTTATCATGGCCAAATAAGAGTACATTCTATACTCTGGCGTTATAAAGCAGATATGAAACTAATTAAAGGATGGGTAACTTATTCATTTCGTTTTCCGAATCTATGTCATCCTAATTTATACAAAAAATTCAATGTAAACGATAATCTATTTCAAAAGTCAACGAAACCTCGCCATCATTCTAAAGATTGGTATATTTATATAGGAAAGCAATTACCAAAATATATTGGAGAATATTTATCTATTCAAACAATTGTTCAAGTAAATGATCCTCCCATAACAATGTTATTTGTGAATAAAGTTACAGAACGAATAGATATTTATTTTTATTTCAAATCCATTAATACCAAAATGACAATGACTTTTGAACAACCAATTTTTAAATAACATCAGAACTTTCACTAATATTTCATCTGTAATAGTGAAGTTCTTTTCTAAATAAAAGAATTTTGAAACATGCTTTTTTTTTGCTTTTCAAATTGATGTTGAGTCAGTGTTAATGAGGATAGTGCCTGAAATGTCCATTTTGGTTTCTCATAGTTATTTAGATTTTATTTTATGTTACAATTTATTCTTCTACGGTATAACTCAATAATTCATATATTAATAAAAGATATTCTAAAGATTAGCATTAAAAATCTATGTGAATGTTTATCATTTTTCCCAGTTTTTAATACTATGATTTAATATTTCTTTAATCACCTAAAAATAATTCACGATGGGAAAGTAAACGATACTAAATCAATGTCAGAAATAAAGACTAATATATATTCGATGACCAATATATATTAGCACTAATAGGAAATGAATATTTTAAATACCTATTTAACAGCCCATCAACACATGTTTGAGAAATAATGTTAAGAATGCATTCATCAAAAAGAGAAGATCTCTAAAAAAGAATCGTTTTTGAATAAATTCTGCTGCTCATTATTACCAATCAGAGTACAGATAATTCGCATCAAAATTCTAGAAGCATTACGCAGTGTCGTGAAAGTTAAAATATACAATATTATATCAGAAATCTATTGATACAATGATTCTCAATACTTTGATTTTCAGTAACTCTTGAAAGTACACAATATTGTACGAATGAAAGCAACAACTCTTTGCAGATTTATTAACTTCTTCTTGGTGTTGGTTTCTGAATATGTTGTAGATTTCAAATAATAAGATCTCTGCATACAAAGAGAAAAGTAAAAGGAAGAACAGAAAAGAAATGATGAAAAAACACTTGATATAATTAGTTGACATACATTACTCATACAATTATCGATAGTCATGTTCGAACACGAAGTATCTCACAACAAAAGAAATGATCGAGAATTTCGAAAAAGTTCTCACGTTTAATCAAGGGGGAACAAACTGATTTCTTGATTTCTTGGTTTCATTGATTTCTAATGATTTCATTGATTTCTAGTGATTTCTAGTGATTTCTGTGATTTCTATTGATTTCTGTGATTTCTATTGATTTCTGTGATTTCTGTTGATTTCAAATTGATTTCTAGCATCAATCAAAATTTCAGCTTTCTTTATATCACTTGAAAAAAGTCTTTTATATCCGTTGATATTATCATAATTAGACATATTTTATAACTAGATGAATTTTATTGAAGAAAACAACAATTTAAAACAGTGAAACGACTGGATAGACTGAAAGCAAGAATATAACTTTTTCGAATTTTTTTCTTTATACATCGACGGTTATACCTCATATTTATACAACATGTACTAAGTAAGACTAGTCAAAGATGTGGAATATGATTAGCCTCTGAGCATAGTAATTTGTTCCAAAACATGTAATTATGTCTTAATTGTTGTTATGTGACTACATAAAAAATGCGATGCTGTTTGTATTACATCAGATATTCACATTCTTGTCTGCTTATTCCAATCTAAGAAACAAACTGGATTCGATTAGAATTCGAACTCCTATGAACTAAAAGCATAAAAAATTTAATCAAGTCCAATTTGTTTCTCAGATTGGAATAAGCAGACAAGAATGTGAATATCTAATCTAATACAAACAGCATCAAATTTTTTTATGTAGCCACATAACAACAAATAAGAGATAATTACACGTTTTGGAACAAATTACTATGCTCAGAGGTTAATCGTATTCCACATCTCTGGCTAGTCTTACTTAGTACATGTAGCATAAATATGATGTATAACCGTCGATGTATAAAGAAAATAATTCGAAAAAAATATTTGTTCTGGTTCTTTTGATCCATCTCCAGTGCAAATATGACATATAACAACAACATTTTTACTTCAACAAAAACAGCAGAAAATACAATCTGTTATTCACCTCTAACCCGTAATGTTCGATCGGAGGATAATGAACTTCTATCTTTTTGCAAAAGCCAGCAAGCAGCTTGTTTATGAATATATTTTTATCGCCATTAATGATAACTTGAAAGTAAGTATGAGCAAATTCTTCTTTAACATTATCGACTAATCTTATTCCACGGTGTGCAGATATGTTAAAATTATGTGTAGTATCATAGCTATCATCTGGATCTATTTCTTCATCACTATCATTATCATATGTAACATCTTTATGGATACTATTGTCTGTTTCCTCATCTGACTCGGTATCTAAATCTGCATTTTTGCTATTACTATCATCGTTTTCTGCTATCCAAAAATTCTCCAGCCGACGTGATATGGTGTTACTAAGTTCTTGAATTGAAATTGTTTGTCCATTTCGTAAAAGTTGTTTGATTTGAAGTGGTTTAAAAAGATTAGTTACATATTTATATGCATTAAGAACACTATTTTCAATATCAGCCTTCGAAATAATAGTTGTATTTGATGAATTTGAAGTACTTCGTAATGAAGATGATGATACTTTATGATGTTGAGGAAAATGTAATTTGTTTTCATTTGTGTTAATTTTGATGTTTTGTAATGTGGATAATTTATTAATTCGATTAAGGAATTGTGAAACTGTGAAGTTTACACCTGCTGAATTAATGCTAGATATTGATCTAGTCGATCTAAATGTGCTTTCGCAAGTTTGAGAATTTTGTAACCATATATTAAGAGTTTCAAGAGGAAGTTGTCCTTCTGAGACAAGTACAGCAAGATATATAAGACTATGAGCATTGATTTCGACTGAGAAGTACGACTGGTAGGTGATAAAATATTTACTTTTTGTGTTATATTTCTGTTTATTAGGTGTGGTTAAACCGGATAGTTCTGTGAAAATTAAATCAAGATTGTTTTTTTCCATTGAAATAATCCACATATACCAAAATCGGAAAATAAACACCACGATCCACGCATGGAATATCCGATCAATAATATCTGTTGCTTTTTCTATATAAGCGAGTTGAATACTTTTTATAGCCTGTAACGAAAAACTGCAATTAATAGCTATTATCAAAAACCATAAAACTGGTATTCTATGACCTTGCTCATATCTTTTTAACTAGCAATTAAAAAATCGAGTTTTTGAAAAGCAACGAAAACTCTTCTCATAGCTCGAAAGTGACGCTTAAACTGTGCAGATCCTGATCCGACGTGGGATCGATTCGTGTGTTTCCAAAAATGAACCGAACCAAAATGATGTATTTTTTTAAAATCCTTAAACCGAACGGATTCAAACTTTTCTCTGATACTAATGGAACAGGTAATCATTGTTAAAAGTTTTCGCTTAGTATCAATCCATGTATTTGAGTATATTTAAACAACTTCCTTAAATCCACTTCAATTAATCATCTATTTTCAAATTGAATAGGATCTCAAATTTCTTCATCTACTTAAAAATTGTTTCTTTTGCCTACCTTAAGATATATACTAATACCGATAGCATTTGGAACTTGTTCAAGTAAGATTAAAACGTTGTCGTTTGAAATCTTTGTGCAAGATTTGAAATTCTGGCGATCCTTAGGATCAATGTCAGATAGAACAAGTGCATGATCGAATTTAGAAAAGTTTTCAATTATGTAAAGAAGTGGTTCAATATTGATTAATTGATTTCCTAAAAGAAGTGCTGCTGTTTTTGAAAGAAGCCTGTTACGAAGTTTTGTACATATATGAATTGGATCCTGTATGCATACATATAACTGCTCGTGTTGCATAAAAAACCATGACCAGTTAGTTGGAAGATCAATTGCAAGTAAATCTGGATGATCATCATACGTGAACATACCAAAAAAACCAAGAGATATTCTCATAGCATGTAAATAGAGACTATCACAGTCTGTTGAAAAGCCGACTATACGAATACCTTTAGCTTTGAATTGTTCATAAATATGGCGCCAACGTAGAATAACATCTGATGATTTAAATGTACTATCTGTTCCGTACGCTGCAAGAGGATACGGCGAGATGTTGTTAACCGAGGTAGAAAGTGGCTGAACAAGACAAGCGCTGAGTGATTTTGCTAGTGGTAGATCAGAACACCATTGCTCAAGACGAGTAAACGAGTCTGTCGAATATGAATCGATTATGGGCACCCCATTGTCGTCAAGAGGAAGCGAGAAACCGATAAACGTATTTGATGTAGTATCATATGTAATTTTGGGAACAACTGCAGTAGAATCTTCGGCACAAAAACCTAACGTTGACTGGTTGATATTAAGATAATCACAAGCACCTATATAATTGAATAATCCTTCGGCTAGATGATTTTCTGATGTACCAATATACGATTGGATGATCTGTACACTTGGAAGAAATCCCGGAATGTTTAAACGAACGAATTCATAAGCTGTACGACCACCAAGAATATATAAACAGGACGCAAATTGTCGAACAATAGTATCATAACGATATCCTCTCTCTTCGGTAATAAAATTTCTGATCATATTATTTAAAATAACATTTAAAAATGTGAAATCAATCTTGCTATTGCAAATTAGATTTGAATAAATGATAAGTGTTCGAATAAACGGAAGTTTTTGTAATAATTGTTCAGAAATAATCAAATCAGAAGAGTTGTTCAAATTATCGCAAGAAGTCGTATTTTGATGATTAAGGTGATGAAGAGTATGGAGAAATGTTTCAACTTTGTGCATAATTCCTTTTTTTACAACAAAACGACCATCATTGAGTAAGATTCCAGCTTTTCTTTTTAACGGAATCAATTCATCTGAGTCAAGCTCCAGAAAATTAAATATATTATTAATATCAAGAAGACAATCAACAGATGAGATATCTTGTGCTTGCATAATTTCAAGAACAACAGTACCACATTGCTGTTCGACTAAATTATAAAACGCATCATTACGAAACGACAGAACTTCTTTTGTTAAGTTATTAGTAGACGGTAAAATTGACATTTCCTATAAGTTCTAAAAAAGCTATTATAATCACTATCAAATTGTAAAGGCTTAAGCACAAATATTACAACACAGAAAAGGACCACGTTCAGAAAAAAAGTTTTAGATTGTTTCAAATGAAAAGAGATACTGTATTAGGCATTAGTCGTTTCATCTGGAAAATTGTTTCAAATCATTTCAAAACGTCGTCTCCATGTTATAACTGTTTCTCATGATTGTTGAACAGTTAATATAAGTATGAGTTATGAAATTCTTTCAAATCAAACAAATTCAAATCAGGATTTTATCCTAAATTTATTTCACAAAAATATATATAAATCAGTTTTTCTCGTAAAATAACAATATAGAATAGATCACACTGAGATATTAATAATGTAATATATTAAATACAATAAAAGCCTAGCTAAAAATACACAGTTAAATCTATTTCTTTTTCGTTGACAATGATGAACCAGATGTTTGATTTTTTTTTATTTTTTTTAGTGGTGTTTGGATAGATAACATTGAATTTGATGCAGTATTGATTATCGGATCAATAGATGTGTTAGAATAATCAATAGTAGAAACAGCATTGACAGTCAAATTTTCAGGAAGATCTTTCAATTTTTGTTGAACCATTGAACATGGATTTTTATTTGTTAAATGACGGGTATAATTTGATAACTAAAATAACAAGAAAAGATGTTATTTATTAGTAGATGGGTTTGATTATATAAATGAGAAATATGATAACGTCAATGGAAATATCATGGTATTCTTCTCATTACGAGGTCTAAGATACATAATGAGATCCAAACGCGACGTTTAAATATTTCGATCGACCGGTTTTGTCAACTGAAGATCTTAATCAAAATAAGCTACATCTTAATTGTTTTAAGCCACATCGATAGCACAATAGAATTGCTCTCATTAGATCGTACACAACAAGTTATCAATAACAACTATTTTTCTATATAGAATTACGCTGATGTAACTGTTCAATCTTCACTAGCAGAAATACAACTTAAAAAATGTTGATATCCATTAAGATTAAGAATTTTAGATATTTGGATTGATTAGTAAAAACACTGATACTCAGTGTCAATTTCAACAAGAAAAATATGATGTTCATAGGTAATATTCTTATTTATAGTTGCATCTACTCTTCGCATATTATCTTTTTACGGACTATCAAACATGAATTAATGATGTCGTCATTAGATGTGTGAAACAAATATGAAAAAAAAATACTAAATTTCTTTTCATACACCTCATTGAATTGTTTTCATTTAAATATGTAGATTAACTTTTACTATTATGCAGGTCTTTAAGCAATAATAACAGGAAAGGATTAAACAAAAGACAATGAAATCAATATCATTTAAAGTTATGATAATTATAATATCTTTCAGATCGATAGAAACAATTATTGTTATTAATCGAAATAACAGCACAGTAAAGTATGGCAAAAGTAGCGCCGTATTGATTTTACAGTACTAGTACGTCATTACCTACCTAAACTAATTGTTTATCTGTGGAAAGAGTATTTCAAAAGTTAAGGAGATGAAAAACCAACCAGTATAATCGTTCTTAATAACCTGCACTGAGCACTTCCTATAGCATTCATTCATAAATAAACAACGTATGCATTAACTCACATTTTTTTCTATGCTCAATATCTAAGCGTAGTAGTGGATTCACAGCAAGTAGGGTAGGAGCAACTGCCCCTCCGTTTGAAATTGATTTCATGCTTATTTTTGTGAATCTTTTTTCGAAATTTTGTACTTTGATCACATCTGTCCCCTCCTCTTGCTAAACCGTACCCTCCTACAAAAATTCCTGGATTCACTACTGAGCTAGGAACGTAGAAAACTTTGTTGCCTATCTTTTTCAAAAAGTATAATATTCAGAGTGAAATGACTTACAAGATAATTGTTATCCTTGTGACCTAATGTGTAATTTATACCACACTGACATCGTATCAACACCTTGTTGTCAACAGAATTCACGATGATTTCATAATCTATTCCTTCTTTGATTTGATAATTTTGTTGATTTTTACTTTGGTCGTTTTTCTTTAACCAATCATAAAGTGAATTAATTATGTTTTTTTTAAGATTTTCTTCAAAATTTGAATTGGTGGCAAATAATGAAGAATTATCTACTGCTTTATTCACAGATGAACATACAGAAATAGTAGAATAATTGGTTGTGGAATTCATAGAGAATATATTATTTGGCATAGGAATATTTGAAGACATTTTTTTTGTTTTTTTCTTTAACTCATTTTGTTTTTTTATTAATGCATTTTTTAATAATATCATCTTACTCTTAATGCCTGGTAAAACAGAAAATACATTAGTATTTAATTTTATGCATGTTTTCTTCTTCAAATCAAGTAAATCATCTGAATCGTATGATAAAATTTCGAAAGGATCATCAGCTGCTAAAAGACAACATACACTATTAATATCTTGATACTCAAGAAGAGTAGCTAGCTTCTCGCCAGCAAAACTTCTCACGAATTCGAAAAAACGTTCATCTTCAAATTCCATAACATTGTCTGGTAAAACATTGCTTTTGTTGGACATATTTAAAAATGGTTCAATTGAAAGTAAAAATGTGAAGAGAATCAAATGAACAGAAAGATAGTGTTCGTTAGTGAAGACGAAGATAGAAATGAACGGAAACAAATATGCTGTCCTTTCGTCAGTTATATAAAAAGAAAGAACATATACGAAAAGAAACAGAATAGAAAAATCTCTAGATATTCACGTTGAACAGTAATTAAATTAATTTCAGTCACGTTTCGTATATGTAACTATATAAACCACTTGCATTAATTATTTTGTTTACTATTTGATAGAATGATGAATATGACTAGAAAAGATGTGCACTTTACTCAAAAAGAGCACGATTCTCTAGATCTGTCGCCCCTACGCCATATTTTTTGCCACCACGTTAACAAAAACTGAATAAATTTACAATATTTTTGTCGCTTTTGATTCGATATCAGATAATTCTAAGAAGTTGATAAATATATCTAATAACAATGATTTCTATTGATTTCTATTGATTTCTGCTGATTTCTATTGATTTCTGTTGATTTCATTGATTTCTATTGATTTCATTGATTTCTATTGATTTCTGTTGATTTCTGTTGATTTCTGTGATTTCTGATGATTTCGTTGATTTCATTGATTTCTGATGATTTCGTTGATTTCAAACTGATTTCTACCACTAGAAATCAGTTTGTTCCCCCTTGCGTTTAATACAAATGAAGGTCAAATAATAATCGAGTTCAATAAGAGAAACTACGATGAAATCAAAACTATATTCGAATACTTACATGATCACATGCAAATCTATCATTCATTCGATGGAGAATGAAAAATATGTCCGCCATATCATAATTCACAGTTCGAATTTGCTTAAAAATTATCATTAAATAGAGTGTGCGTGTCGGTGGAAGATAAAAGGAAACACTCACACTCACACACAAATAATTAACTAAAGCCTTAGTGTCGTTAGAAGTTAAGATTGTATGAAGAACTACATTCCGCCTATATTGAGGGTGGGTGTGCGGGTATGGATGTGGGTGTGGGTGTGGGTGTGGGTGGGTGTGGGTGTGGGTGTGGGTGGTGTGGGGTGTGGGTGTGCGGTATTGNATTAGATGGAATTCGCGGGAATTCCTAGGAATTTCTACCGATTCCGTCTCGGACACAATTTCGGAATTAGTTGGAGGAGTTCCGGAATTAGTTAAAGAAATTCCGGAATTACTTGGAGGAATTTGGGAATTAGGTTGGAGGGATTCCGGAATTGGTGGAACTGATTCCGCGGGCGGAACTGGTTCCGGAATGTGCAACATTGCGGAATAGGATGACTGCTCCTGGTACGTGATAAAATATTTACTTTTTGTGTTGTGTTTTTGTTGACTAGGTGTTGTTGAACCGGATAATAGCGCAAGAATTGATTCAAGATTGTGTTTTTCTATTGAATTAATCCACATATACCAAAATCGGAAAATGAACACCACGATCCACGCATGAAATATTTTATCCATAATACCTGTTGCTTTTTCTATGTAAGCAAGTTGAATGCTTTTTATAGCCTGCAATAAGAAACTGTAATTAATAACTATTGTCAAAAACTATAAAATGATGTGCTATGATCTTATTCATGTATTCATCTCAACTAACTAAAAACTCGAGTTTTTTAAAAGCAACGAAAACACTTACAATAGCTAGACAATGACGTTTAGATTAGGTAGATTCTTATCTGAAATTGTATCAATTTATTTGTTTTCAAAAGTGAACTGAGTCAAACTATATTTTTTCATATTTAAATCGAACGGATTCAATTCCATCTTTGATTCTTATAGAATAGTTAATCATTGTTAAAAATTTTCGATTAATGTTAATCAACTTATTTGAGTATATCCGAATAGTTTCCTTGAAAATTCATTTCAATGAATTATTTGTTTTCAAATCGACTATGATCCGACATTTATTCATCTACTTTAAAACTATTTTTTTCCTACCTTGAGATAAATACTAATACCAATAGCATTGGGAACTTGTTCAAGTAATTTTAAAACGTTGTCGTTTGAAATTTTTATGCAAGATTTAAAATTTTGGCGATCCTTAGGATCAATATCAGATAGAACAAGTGCATGATCGAATTTAGAAAAATTTTCAATTATATAAATAAGTGGTTCAATATTGATTAATTGATTACCTAAAAGAAGTGTTGCTGTTTTTGATAAAAGCCTGTTACGTAATTTTGTGCATATATAAATTGGGTCTTGTATGCACACATATAACTTCTCATGCTGCATAAAAAACCACGACCAGCTAGTTGGAAGATCAATTTCAAGTATATCTGGATGGTCTTCATATATAAAATTACAAAAGAAACCAAGAGATATTCTCATGGCATGCAAATAGCGGCTGTCACAATCAGTTGCATAGCCGATGATACGAATATCTTTAGCTTTGAATTGTTCATAAATATGGCACCAACGTAAAATAACATCTGATGATTCAAATTTGTTATCAGTTCCATATGCTGCTAGGAGATACGGTGAATTATTGTTAATTGAGGCAGAGAGTGGCTGAACAAGACAAGCGTTGAGTGATTTTGTCATTGGCCGATCAGAACACCATTCTTCTAAATGAAAAAACGAGTCTGTAGAATTTGAATCGATTATTGGAACCCCATTGTCATCAAGAGGAAGCGAGAAACCAATAAAAGTATTTGATGTTGTATCATATGTAATTTTGGGAACAACTGCGGTAGAATCTTCCGCACAAAACCCTAACATAGATTGATTGATATTAAAATAGTCGCAAGCACCGGCATAATTGAAAAATCCTTCATTTAGACGGTTTTCTGATGTACCAATATACGATTGGATGATTTGTATACTTGAAAGAAATGCCGGAATATTTAAACGAACGAATTCGTAAGCCGTGCGACCACCAAGAATATATAAACAGGATGCAAACTGTCGAACGGTAATGTCATAGCGATATCCTCTCTCTTCGGTAATAAAATTACGAATCATATTATTTAAAATAACATTTAAAAATGTAAAATCTATTTTACTGTTGCAAATAAGATTTGAATACGAAATTAATGTTCGAATAAACGGAAATTTTTGTAATAATTGTTCAGAAATAGTTAAATCCGAAGAGTTGTTAGAGTTATGGTAAGCAGAAGTCAAATTTTGACGATTAAGATGATGAAGAGCATGGAGAAAAGTTTCAACCTTGTATATAATTCCTTTTTTTACAATAAAACGACCATCATTAAGTATGATTCCAGCTTTTCTTTTTAACGGAATCAATTCATCTGAATCAAGCTCCAGAAAAGTAAATATATTTTGAATACCAAGAAGACAACTAATAGATGATATATCTTGTGCTTGCATAATTTCGAGCACCACAGTGCCACACTGCTCTTCGACTAAGCTATAAAATGCATCATTGCGATACGACAGAACTTCTTCAGTTAAATTATTTGTATACAATAAATCTGACATTTCCTGAAAGTTCTAAAAATAGTATTGCAATCATCGTCATATTGTAAAGATTTACAAATATCACAACAAAGAAAGGAATTATGTTCAGAAACAAAATATATTTTAAGCTACTTCCAATAAAAAAGAAATACTCTATTAAACTTTAGTTCATCTATCTGGATAGTCACTTCATATCATTTCTAAATATCATTTTATTTTACAATTTTTTCTCACGATTATTAAAAAATTCTTATGATGCATGAGTTTTGAAAAGCTTCCAAATAAAACAATTCAAAATCAGAACTTGATGCTAAATTTATTTCACTTAAGTATATATAAATCAATTTTCTCGTAAAATAACAATATGTAATGCGTCACACTAAGAAATAAATAATAAAATGCTATAGATACAATAAAAACTCTAGCTAGAATACACGCTCAAATATTTTTCTTTTTCTTCGACTTTGATGAACACGATGTTTGGTTTGTTTTTCTTTTTTCTTGAGTTGTTTGGATAGATGAAATTAAATTTGGTACAGTATTGATTGTTGAATCGTCAGACGTATTGGAATTATCAATAGAAGAAGCAACATTGATGGCCAGTTTTTCACGAAGATCTATCAATTTTTGTTGAACCATAGAACATGGAATTTTATTTGTTAAATGACGAGTATAGTTTGATATCTAAAATAACAAGAAAAGCTGTTGTTTATTAAAATACGCATTTAATTGGGTGAATGAGAAAAATAATAAAATGAATTGAAATGCTATACTATTCTTCTTATGAAGTGGTTCAAGATGTATAAAGAGATCCAAACGCGATGTTTAAATATTTCGATACATGGTTTTTATTAGGTTACCACTTTAGTCAAAATAAACTACGTATTAATGGTTTCAAGTCACATTATAACACAAAACAGCTATTCTCATTAACTTACACACAATAAGTAATACAAATAAAATATTTTTTCATATCAACTTTTAATGATGTTACTGTGTTTAGATTTGCTAGCAGGAATACAATTTACGAAGTGTTGATATCCGCTGAGAATAAACGTTTATAATATTCAGATTGATTATTAAAAAATGATACTCAACGTCAATTTTAACAAAAAAAAGTGTGACGTTCATAGATGATACTCTTATTTCTAATTCATCTGCTGTATCACATATGACCCTTGCACGAAATGTCAGACAGAAAAAATAATGTCACCGTTAGATGTACTTAAAACAATATGAAAAAATAAATACACTAATTTCCGTTCCATACAGTTTATTGAATTGTTTTAATTTTAATGTATAGATTAAATTTAAGTATTGTATAGATCTTCGGACAATAATAATCAGAGAGGACTAAGAAAAAGACATAATGAAATGAATATCATTTAAAATCATGATAATAATAATGTTTTCAGATCGATGCAAACAATAATTGTTATAGATGGAAGAAAAGAACATAGTAAAGCGTACCAAAAGCCAGACCACCTTGATTCGACAGTGTTTGGTGCATCATTACCTCTGTAAACTAATTGTTTTACTGCGAAAAGAGTATTTCAAAAGTAAACAAAGTGAAAATTCAATCTGTATAATTTTTTCAATAAACTGCATTAAAAATTTCCTATAGAATTTATTTATAAATGAGCAACGTATACATCAACTCAAATTCTTCTTTATACTTAATATCTAATGGAAGTGGCAAATTTACAGCAAGTGAAGTAGAGGCAACTATCATTGCACTTGAAACTGACTTTCATGCTTATTTCTACGGATTGTTTTCTGAAATTGTGTATTTCGATCACAACTGCCCCTCTTGGTGAACCGCACTTTTCTTCGAAAACTTGTTGAATCCTCTACAAATCTAAAGAAGGACTTAGAAAACTATGTATGATTACCTACTTTTTTCGAATAATATAATATTCATAGCGGAATGACTTACAAGATAATTGTTGTCCTTGTGACCTAATGTATAATTTATACCGCATTAACATCGTATCAACACTTTGTTGTCAATAGAATTCACGATGATTTCATAATCTATCCCTTCTTTTATTTGATAATCTTGTTCATTTTTATTTTGCTTTCTTTTGTTGAGCCAATCATTAAGTGTATTAATTAAATGTTTTTTAAGATTTTCTTCAAAATTTGAGCTGGTAGCAGATGATGAAGAATTGTTTTCTGATTGTTGGATAGATGAATGTATAAAAGGTGTAGAATAATTTGTTGCCGAACTAATATAAGACGTATTATTTGACATATAAATGTTTGAACACATTTGTTTTGTTCCTTTTTTTAACTCATTCTTTTTTTTTATTAATGCACTTTTAAGTAATGTCATCTTACTCTTAATGCCAGGTAAAACAAAAAATGTATTGGTATTTAATTTTACACACGTTTTCTTTTTCAATTCAAGTAAATTATCGGAGTCATATGATAAAATTTCGAAGGGATCATCAGAAGCTAAAAGACAATGCACATTATTGATGTCTTGATACTCGAGAAGAGTAGCTAGCTTCTCGCCGGCAAAACTTTTTACAAATTCGAAAAAAACGTTCATCTTGAAATTCCATAACATTGTCTGGTAAAACATTTCCATTGTTGGACATATTTGAAAATGGCTCAATGGAAAGTTAGTGTGAAGAAAATCAAATGAACACAAAGATAATGTTCGTTAGTGAAGAGAAATATAGAAGTGAACGAAAAGAAATATATCCGTTCTTTCGTTAGTTATATGAGAAAAGGACATATACGAAAAGAAACAGAATAAAAAATCTAGATATCGATATTGAATGGTTATTGGATGCATTTTGGTCACGTTTTATATATGTAACTATATAAAATACTTCCTTTAGTTTCGTTCTTTTTGCACATTGTTAACGAATATTGAATAACACTGCAGCATTTTCGTTATTCTCTACTCCATTTCGGATAATTTTAGAAAATTGATCAATATATATAATAACAATGGTTTCTAGTATTTTCTGTTGATTTTCTTGATTTCTATTGATTTCTCTGATTTCTGTTGATTTCTATTGATTTCTGTTGATTTCTATTGATTTCTGTTGATTTCTATTGATTTCTATTGATTTCTATTGATTTCTGTTGATTTCTATTGATTTCTGTTGATTTCTGTTGATTTCATTGATTTCTCTGATTTCATTGATTTCTCACGATTTCACTGATTTCTATTGATTTCAAGCTGATTTCTTAGGTAGAAATCAGTTTGTTCCCCCTTGGAAAATTATCTAGATTTAGAATTTATTGAAATGATTATGAGTTATAAAAAAAATTGAACTACTAATTGGACAATTTCTTTTTTCAAAAATTAATAAGTAAAATCTATAAATTATTATTCTTATATATTTTATAAACACCTTTTATTTTTCTATATCAAGAAATTGATTAAATTGATTAGTATAAATAAATTAAAAGATTATAGTGTACATGTTTCAGGTTCTTTTTTTTGAAAAGCGACAGCGATTAATTAAAATAAGTTTTTACTTGTTTTTCTTTTTCATTTGAATATCATTTTCATTTTTATTCTTCATTACTTTTGTTTAAGATTTAATTATTCGAATAGAAATCAAAAATATGAATGAACTTCGACTTATTTAAATACAAACATTATTATCAAATTGTGAAACAATAAAAAAATCTATAGTTTTACTATATGGATGTATTTTAGAATATTTTCTGAAATAATATATAGTAATCATCAAAACAATAATAATTTCAATAACTAAGAATTCATTCAGAATGAGATTAAAACAAAACTTTCACTCTGATGCAATGTCGATCTTAACTCGTAGTGTAAAACTAATTAGTTAGCTCACTACAAATATTTTTATATTAACATTTATAATCTGAATATATTTGAATATTTGACTATTTTTATTTAGTTTTTCGAAACTCTCAAGTCTCATAAAATGATTTATGCGTATGAAGGATGTGGATGGTTGGTGTGGGGTGTTGATGAAACTCTTCTCTTAATATCCACACCGTCAAGACTTCAAACGGTCAAATACTGGAACTGATCCGGCCGCACCATTTTCTCATTTGAATTTTTTAACTTGTTGTTCATATAATACAGATATTGGTGTTCCAGGTTCTTCATCGATTCTTCGTTTTATTTATCTAATACATTCATATATAATTTGCATCCAATTTTCGCTGATTTTGGAATTCATGACTTCCATCTGATTTAATAGGTGAAGTTTTTACAATTAAGCCTTCACGCATGATAATTGAACGATTGCATAACTTGTGTGTACAAATTCATATTTGATTTCCCTTGTTATTTTTACGTGTTAATCTAAAAAGATAGTTTTTGTACATTATCCCATTTTTACCAGATTGTGTGGCACTGAAAGAAATGTTATCTTGGTTCACAATCGACATTTTTATTAACTGTTCCCGATTATTTCTGTTTCCTTAAATACCTTCCTTCACAGTATAAAGTGAAAAAAGATGACCTGAACGACACTCGTCCGTTCAGTGTTACACTAGCTTGATAGAGATGATATCATCGATAGAATCGATTTGTCTCTACTAATTTTCTTACTGTTTCTATTTTGCTTTTGATTCTATAATGCAAATATTTTCATCTCTCTACCTCGGTTCTACTTTGAGGACATATTTTCCTCCAATTAAGGAAAATTGCTCACAATCTAGAAGACACGGATCCTTGAGAATATATAAGAACAAATAGAACAGTTTGATCAATATTTGCATTTATTTATCATTTTATTACATCGATAATCTTGCTTGTTTGATAATAATAAATCATTATAATAAAATCTTTCGAAAACAGTGTGATCATTATTATGATTACAATAAAAAGGTTAAGTCTTTATTTCTTCTCTACATGAAGGTATTCTGATATATTACAATCGTACAAAAAAACATCCTCATTGCACTTTTCTATCGAACATTCTATTTGAAATGAAATAATGCAATTACATATAAAATATTATTGTTTTGTTTTCAAGTTTAAAAGAAAAATGAATGGCTATCGATCAACAAAGATCTATCTTATAGTTTTAGGACCAGTCATTTGATATACATCGTGAACGAAATGATCAGCGTTATCAAAGATAGGTTTCCAGTATCGATTCATATTTTGGTTCATTTCTTGATCGAATTGTCTTTGTACAACTCGCACATCTTGTTTGTTGACAAATATCTATCCAAATGTTTTCAATATATTGTTCGTAATGTTCAAATATCTCATTGAATGAATCTTCCATACGTTTAGCAATTTCAGTACCTAATTGCAATAATTTTTTTGTAATTTTCCGAATGAACTCGATAACCTTGTGGATCTTGATTTTACATTGCAGGATTTGGTCTTGCTGAAAGTACGATTTGTTGACACTCTTTAATATTTTTGATTATTTCACGTTTAAAACTTTCCAGAGTAGCATCAACTTGTTGTTCAATTTCATCACCTGAGCTTGCAGATTTTGAACGTCTACGTTGAAAGAAATTTTTGATTCTATTGTCACCAGATGGTGTTTCCTTTTTTAATTTAAGAATTAATGTTGGAATTCTTTCTTGATTTTGATCTTCGATTATTGTTAGAATTTTCTACAAGAAAAAAAAACCATAAGATTATTCATTGACAAAACGGAAGTATAGTGTCATTCTTTGAAGTATGATAGTTAAATTTCAACTGAAAAATAATCATTCGAGCCCAATCGAATTTCACTCAGAAATCCGTCGATGCACTTAGAAGTGATCCATCCGTTAGTACAGTAAAAATGATTTACACTGGTATAATTTTGATGCTGAATAACTGGTGATTGATTTGTTGATGGTGATCCTTTCTAAACAAAATATTTTGAGAATGAAAGTAAAAAATAACGTATTATTATTACTTGATAATTTCCAATTGGATTTCGAAAAGTCATGTTGTCAATGAAAATCGATCTAGAATAAAAAAATAACAAAATTTATTTATAATATAATCAAATATTGCTTTATTTATGTGAAGAATCTTTTTAATTATTTGTATATTAAAAAAAGAGATCGATGACACTTTTGAAGGCATTTGCAATTTTTTTTCCAATGTCAACAATTTGATTCCAAATCCAAGTGACAATTTGTTTGATAATGTCAATGAGTTTAGAAAACATATTTTCAATCCAATTTCGAAGTTTCCCCATGCCTTGATCAGCATATCGAAGAAGTTCACGATAATCATCTTTTTCGGACTGTGAAGCGTTTGGACTAGGTCGTTTTCCGATAATTAATTTTTTGACGTCCTCACATTGTTGGACTGTAGTATCTTTTGTCTTTTCAACTTGTCGTAGAAACGCAGCTTCTTCGTCATCAAATTCGTTGTTGGTCTGTCCTCGTTCTGCCATTGATGTGACTATGCTCTGCAATCTATCAATGCCATCTTTGATAGACTCTCTGAAGTTCGATTCTGCTCGATCAAATGTTAAATTCATCCTTCTAAAATTTAATAATTATATCGCATATCCAAGAATTACAAAGTTATTCGATGTTCTGGAAAATAAAATAGTTGAAAAAAAACTTAAGTTTAATTTAAAACAATAATAAAACAATCTAGAATGGAAATAAAATTTAATCATTAATAAAACAAATTTGTGTTTTAAGAAAAGTAAAGAGATTATTCATTTTTTTAATTAATAATACAAAACTATGTCTGTTGTTTGTTCTGATTTGAGTTTTTTAAATCATTAATGTCTTCTTCCATTTTTTTCACTTCAGTAAATAAAGGATCCCATGATTGTTTTAAATATGCTTCTGTTTCGTGATGAAATTTATCTTGAATAGAGGTCGAATCATTGCGAGCACTAAATTCTTCC